AAGTGATGTACTGTGTCGTTTTGGTAGTGTTTATGGTCAGATTATCAGCACAGTTCAAGATTCAATTTTCAATGGCTGTTCTGGAAAACCAAGCCACTGGTTTAGATATTCAAATGAGAGCTGACCCAGTCATAGAGTATTTCTAGCAAGGTGTTATTGAACATGACCTGTTTCTCAAAACAATGCATCCTTCCAGTGCTGGGTGTCTGGATGCATTAGCTGGTATCTGAAGAAAATGACTGTGGCAGAACCTCATTGTAAGTTTATTTAAGAGCTACTTGGGTATCCTGACATGAAATTTTCTCATTTGCTTCCAGGGAAACACTGTTTCTTTTGTTAGTTTTGACTTTTTTATTTGCAAAAGGAATACCAGCCTTTACAGACTGTGACGTCATTAATAGATGCATTAATACATAGAATACAGAGTACATATGTGCAAAAGTATGTGTGAGTGGATTTTCCCTATATGAATTTCATTACTACATTGACAGCTGTGTTTATGGGTGCTACAAGTCAGCTAAACATGTCCAGTACTTTCCATCCTAAACCCTCAGTTTAGCAGCTTTCAATTTTTACAACTTAAATGCCAGCATCTGGACAAAATAGTGTCATATTCGTGACACCTCTGACAGTTTTACCTACTAGTCCCTCACCTCAAATGGGACCTTGGCATCCAGGTTTTTCCAAATGTGCTTATACTGCAAGGAATAAAGAGACAAAGACAGTGAGCCCATAGGAAAGCCTCTGAGGCTATTAATCACCATGTATTTGGAATTAGTCTAATACAATACTCGAGATGATGCTTAAGGACACACACCAACCAATGAAAGTAAAAACTAAGTATTGAATAGAGTTGCTCATTCATTGAACACTGTCCACCCCCTTCAGTGAATGAAGTAGTGTGCCTTGAATAAAAATAGTGACAACCACATCCCTAGATTGCAATCACAAAATGACTGAGCGGGATCTTTAGTCTGGCATACTCAGCATTTAACAATGTGATTAAGTAAGCGTAGTAAGGTCTTGGGAGAAGAGAGTGGGAGGGATGATTACTTTTTGAAGGTAATAACAGAGTCCATCAAAGCTGTTAGTATTCTCCCTCTTTGAACAAAAAACAGAGAAAAAAGTAGTTAGGGTACTCCAAGTTTAACTTAATTGCTAAGCCTTTAGTTCCTCCATTTCTGATCCACCATAAATTGAAATTATTCCAGGTGAGCTAAGACATTTCAGTGAATACTTTATAGCTTCCAGCTGTACTTTAAGGTTGGTATAGGGGAATATCTACAAATGGGAATAAATGGTAGGCTGCAATCAGGCTGTCAGCTATTTAGGAGAGCAGGAAGCAAACACGAGAGTGACAGTCAGGCTTGCAGGTCATCAGAGTATGTTCATCAGAATTCCCTGAGGAGAGCATTTTAGTATCCCAGACTTCACTACTTCTGCAGGAACGTTGCCCCTTCCAGCCGCTGCTTTGGCCATCCCAAATGTGAACTCTCTCCTTACTCTTCCCCTTCCCCGTGCTCCAATCTACAGGAAGATTGAGCCAGTGGGAATAAACACACCACAGAGAGGCTTTCAACTGCAAACGAGCCCTGATACCCGATGGCAGATAAGTGAAATGATACAAATTCCCCTCAAATAGTCTGCCCCATTGTGGTGGTGGTGTTATTACTATTATCATCATCATCATTTTTTACTTTTAGTCATTAATACCAAATATTTTCTATTATTTAATGTATGTTCAGGCCAAGTTCCTAGCTTTCTCATGCTTTCTGGGGTGAATTTATTGGCAAATAATGTTTCAACACATTTCAACAACTAATGTTTCTATATCTTGTGCCACTACTTCAGGCATAAAAAAAACCCGTCTCTAATACTGGCTGTAGGACTCTCACCATAATCACTCAGCTTTACATAACTTGTTTGCAAGATCCATATTCTGCCCACTTTTTCCCCATTTCAAAATACCAGAATACCTTCCAAAACCAGCCTTATTCAGGTAACTGTAAGGTCAACAAGCTTACTCACATGGGAGGCAAAAAACTGATGCAACGGGTCAAATTCTGTTCTTATTTACACCTATACCAAATTGGAATCTGTTCTTCTCCATGTTACAAAAATGTTCTTCACCAAAAGGGTTGTCAAGCATTGGAGCAGGGAGCATTCCCTAAGTGGTGGAGTCACCAACCCTGGAGGTATTTAAGAGACAGGTTGATGTAGTGCTTAAGGACATGGTTTAGGGTGGACTTGGCAGTGCTGGGTTGATGGGTGGACTCGATGATCTTAAATGTCTTTTTCCAACCAAAACAATTCTATGATTCTATGTGAGCTGTGGCTGTGCCTCAGTTCTGAATTTCAGGAACTTTTGGTTCAGGCATGTTGCAAATACGTAGTTGTCTAACCAGTGGTATACAGTTTTGAAATAGTTTAGCCATGATTCTTTGAGGAGAGTTGGTTTAGTGTGAGGGACATCAGAAGCCGAAGAAGAAAGAATTATCCTGGGTCAAAAAGAAAATGTACAAACACCATTGTCAGAGCTCAAGATATGGTAGTTGTGTGAATACAGGATAAATGCTGCTTCTTTAAGCCCTTTAATTATTTCTCCCAGTGGGAGACAGGGAGACACATGAAAATCATTTCCAAGCTACCTAGTCCCACAGTAAACTAAGTAGTTAGAAATGACAGTGAATTAAAGATTGAAGCTTTTGGTAGTTATAGGAAAGTTCATTTTTATTTACAAAGATTTCTTGCAGACTTAAGTGTGTGACTGAAATACCTTTCTGCTCTTGACAGACACTACTTACCTACATACCAGTAACAAATGGTATTCAGCAATAGAAATATGATGTTGTCCTTTTCTAATTAATGTTTTACTCATTTTCACATGATTACAAAATTCCTGATCTGAAAAAGCTGAGGTTTGATTTTTGAAAGTAGCACAGATACTTTGCATTCATTTTGCACGTCATTTAGATGTGCACCTCTATTGAAAAATGTGTATCTTCTGTGATCACGTGGTTATAACATGAAAGGACCAATATCGACCTCGTAATGTTAACACTACAACGGCTGGAGGAATATAACACAGCCAGCAGACTATGAGACTGATTTTTTCAGCTGAATTGCAGGAGTAACTTGGTAGAGCAGGTTAAGAGTTATGCCGGTACAGACCCGTGTCATTTTCCTTTTTTTCATTCCACCTTATAAATACAATAAAAAAATGTGGAGGTAATCCTGCTTCCTCACTGTGTCCACGGTTGACCATCAGGAAGGGTTGATTCAGTGTTTCATCAGCAGCACATAAAAACACAAAGCCACAGAATCCAATATTAGTTTGAGTATGCATTATTGAAAAGACACTGTAATTGAAAAAATCCTCACAGCACAGTAATCCAAGTGCAGGCAAGCAGAAAAAATAAAAAATAAATAAAATAAAAAAAAAAACCCCACCAGAGATGTGTTCTTCTAGTAAATCCTGTGTTTACTAGGAAAAAAGATCCCAGGAATGAGGCTAGGGATCTGTGCATCCCCCAGCAGTGAGGTACCCTGCATTGGCTGAGGTTAGAGGGGCCGGGCAGGAAACAAGTGGGGATCAGGTGCTGATCCCACTCCATGGGAGTGCATGGGGTGACCTCACACTCAACCCCACTCACTCCCCACCTCTCCAGCAATCCCAGTAGGAAGATGGGAAGGATGTCAGTTCTCTGTCTTAAAAGAAGGACACAAGTGAAACGTCTGAGCCTGGGTCACTACAACTGCCCCCAGCTCCTCCAGCCTGCCCCTGTCTGGCTTGAAAGGGGACAATTCATGGACCTATTCTCCTGAAAGCAGTCCTGTCAAGACTCGGGTTTTGCCACCAACTTGATGAGCCCTTCCCTTCACTGCTTCTTTCAGATGCAGCATTTCACTGAATGAAGTCAGCAGTGTGTACGTGGCGTCGACTACTCACATAACCAAAAGCTACATGAGTACTTTCAGATGCAGCATCCTTCTGACTAATATTCCTGTCATGTCTGACTAATGAGGGCCAGTTAAAATGTCAGGAGTTTTTTGGGGTTTCTTTACTACCTTGTTTCTTACTCACTCTCACAGTAGATGATAATGAACTGACAGGTTTACTCATTCCATTTATACAGTCCTGTGGGGATAAAAGGATTGCTGCAGCTTAACTGCTTCTGCGTAGTTTAGGAAGTCTTACGGGTGTATGAATAAGAGTGATTGTTCCTGCCTGGAAGCAAACAGACTTGGCCCTGTCATTTAAGAGTAGATCCACATTGAAGATAATGCAGAACTACTGTTGGCCAAGTGGGAGAAATCTGCTTCTGTAACACAACATTTCCCCTGGAGCTCCTGCCCTACGTGTGGCACTGAACTTTTCCAATGCCAGTGAAGGAGAGCAAGGTCATACCTATGGCATCCTCACTGCCCTGGTCAGGGATATGCAAGGAGCCCTTCCTGCACCCCCTGAGCATTGGCCCAGGGAGGTGAGAGAAGCAGTCCTGGGCGCATGGGTGGGCAATGGTGAGGGAGCTAGCTTAGTCCTTTCACACACCTATGGAGCTACCTGTCACCCAAAAAATCTGGGACAGCACTAATGCCCTGGATCCCCAGGGCAGCTCCAGAGCCTGGGTGCTCCTTCAGTATATCTCCCAACAATACGCAGTTCTCATGTCAAGCCCTTTCAAAATAGCAAAGCAATTTTGCTTGGTGTTCACAAGGCAGAGACATCGCTGATAAGACTATGATACAAATCAAATTTATATATGTAAAGGCAGCAATAGCATAGGAAGGAGTCTGGGGGAGAAATACCTAAAGTGGAGAGGCTGTAAAGAAAATACACGTAAAAATGCATATATTAAAAAAAAAAAAAAGCAGGCAAGGCAAAGAATGCTGTCGATATTTTGTGCAACTGACCTCCCCATCAGTTCTTTCAGGTCATTCGTTAAATGCATGGAAACTATTGATTTTGTCTAATTAAATCATTTCTGTTCATTTCACAGGGACAAACGCTAAGCATGGACTGCGCTGTAAGGCCTGTAAGATGAGCATCCACCACAAGTGTGCAGACAGTATTGGACAGCAGCGTTGCATGGGCAAGCTGGTAAGTGAGCAGCTCAGGGGAACAAGTGCAGCGGGAGGCACCAGCTTGTGCTGGAGCCACTTGCTTGGTGAGCCTGACCCCCTGACTGGCATTGAGCTGGTGCGTTTGCAGAACTGACACCAGGCCACTTTACTGAGGTGGGAAAAACAAAACCAGGTGGTGCCCTATTACCAATTTGGGTAATAGCTACTACTTGGAAACCGGAACAAAAATGAAATATGAATCTGGTCTGATTTGTGGATGTGAAAATACTTACATAATCCAAATTTAGCTAAATATCAGAATTCATTCCCTTGATTTAAACTGTGCTTGCTGTAGTGCACATCTCTCAAGGAATGCTATAAATTAGTCAAAATATATCAGTGGAGTTTAACAAATAAAAAATCCTTCAAATTATGTTTTATTGTTTTTTCCACTGTTAAGGTTTGATGACAAACAAATGTTCATCTTAAAAAAGAAAACTAAAACATATTTCACAGGGAGATACTACAGACTTTGAAGAAAGCTCTTAGCAGGGAAGTCTGGGAGGAGACATGCCCCTGTACAGACAGAGAACCTTAGTGCCTGGCTCACCTTCTGAGCAGCAAATTCTCGTTATTGGCAAAGGCAGGATACTGTGTTTGAGATGTTTCTAGCCCAGCGTGATGACTTCTGTGGGAATATGGGAGGGTTTTGTAACTTCTAGAAATAGAAGTTCAAAAAATGACCGTTTAGAGTATGAACGCTGAATGCATATATTCATATTTCAGATGTTCTCACATTTGTTGCAATCTGAAGGCACCTGAGACAAATATGAGCTAAAACCAATGAGCTTTACTGTGTTAAATGGTGAAAAAAAATCAAGCATTGACTTCAAAAGGTCTAGAAAGCCCACTTCCCCAGAAAGGTCTTTTCTCTCCAAGAGTATTCAGTGAATGTTATTGTTTATACACAATGCGTTTAAACCATAATCGTAGCCCTAGTGTGAGGCATTCTGGTGTAGGAAGTTGGTCTGTGAAGGGCTGAATGACCTTATTGCAAACCTTAGACAAGCCAAATATTAAATCACGTGAATTGTTTCACCCATTTCTTGATTCTAGCCTCAGCTCTTGTGGTTACTAGTTTACAAAAGCAGAAAAGTAGAGGCCAAATTTAAAGCAGGAAGTCATCCAGCAAAGTCATAGGAGTTTTATGAGCTCATATTGTGTCTGGATATAGTTTGTTTTGGGGGGCAAACTGAGGCTGGGGAATCCTGAATTTATTCCTCTAAGAAATAAAATTTATCAATCCCCTCATTCCTTCTCAGTCCATGATGCAGCTCGTTAGCAATAGAACTAGTTGTCTATGATTTTTTGAGGTATACTAAACATAGAATAAAGAAAATATACTCATCCCCATGAGGCTTTTCCACTTCCCACTGTGACAGAAATTTCTCACAGCCTGCAAAGACTAGAAATCTGAGAGACCATTTGTGAATGTCTAATACTTTGAAGGACATTTATAAAGACTTAGATGTTAGCACCTTCATTTTGGGTACTCACTCATGCAGTGATGACTTGGGGAATTTTTTGAATTTACAAAGAGCGGAAGCTGCAATCAGTCAGCAGCAAACCTTAGAAAAAAATCTATGTAAAGGGTCTAAATTCCTTTGGTTTCACAGTATGCGGGGACATGAGGATTGGGAGTTAGGGTGGGTAAGAACAGTCACATGTTTAACAAATGTAAAACACTGCAAATTCACATTAGATAAGAAGAAAAGAAACTTCCCAGAACCTCTAATGATTCAGCATTTCTGCTGCAATTAATTTGTGCTGCTTTTGTGTAAGACAAAAAACAAAAGGCGGGCTGAAAATTAGTCCCTCCTTCCACATAAATATGAGAAATTGCTTTTTCCAGGAGAAGAATCAATTAAAACCTTGTTCTATAAACCCCACAGTGACTGAACCACAAGGGACAAAGTCCCAGCATCGCCATACCATTACACCACTAGCTGAAGAGCTGAGGTTGTTTCTACTACATCAGTCATGGCAGCAACACACTTCATTTGTTTTTGCTTTCTCTCCCTCCAGCCAAAGGGATTTCGACGGTATTACAGCTCACCACTACTCATTCATGAACAGTTTGGCTGCATCAAAGAAGTGATGCCTATTGGTAGGTTTTGATTGCTTTTCCATTCAGTCTCCCCTTGGCAGTGCTCTGCAACAGCAGCGGCAGACTTCCAGCCATGGTATTTACCCTCATCAGCCTTCCAGCTCCTTTCGGTGACTGGATGTCCTTCTGCCACCTCAGGAAAGGACCACTTCAAAGATACCAAGCTGGAAGAGGAGAGGGTGTGTTTATTGTGCGTTTCACTCAAAACCCTGTACATACAACCTCTTAGTAATCACCCTGTTTATAATAATAACTACCTGAGCTCAAGGTAGGAACTTGAAAGGGAGGAAACACTGCAATACTGAGGTGAAGGTCTCAGCTGGGAAGAACCAGATAAAAGATAGAGGGATCAAAACTGTGGGAAGCATTCAAATCACTGATCCAGCTTTTGAAGGACTTTTCTAGATTCCTGTCCTTTTTCACCCACACTTCTGACTTTCCTCTTATTTTTCCTGATTGACCATGTCTACACATTGTCCAAGAATTTAAAAGACCAGATTTTTCTCCCCGTAATACCAAATTCTTGAAAGCAAATGTTTTGAAATGGAGTAGTTGAGTTGAATCTGGAAAATATTTCTCCCCACCAGTACTCTACTAGGCAAACCTGACAGTACAAAAAAATGAAAGCCAAAACTTGGCAATCAGTTTAAAATTATTTGTCTGAGGACATTTACTTCATTGGGTTTGGCAGTTGGGAAAAAAAAAAGTGAATTACATGGTTTTCAGCTAAGTTTCTCTATCTAAAAAACATCCATCATTTTTGTAAGTAATAGAAACATTTTGAACAAACAATGGCTAAAAAAATCAGGTGTGCATTGCTCTCATCAAAAATTCAAAATCCAATATATTTTCTCAGTACTTTGGCCAAAATTTCCCTCCTTCTACACAGTGCTACAAACACTGCATTCTACCTGTCTACTGCTTTGTACTGCAAGGGAGGCTGAGGTCTAATAATGCAGTATGTAGAAGAGGATTTGAACTGGATTTGCTCATGCCAATGGAAGACATCCACTTTTCTTCTATGGGAGATGACTTTGGGGCCAACTATGAGGGAGAGTGGGAGTGAGAATTGAATGGACATACATCAATGGAAGTGGTGGGCATTCTGGCTACCCCTAGACTGAGCTGAGCAACCTGAAGCACATTTCCAACAGCAGGTACCTACTCACACCTGCCTCCAGACCCCATATGGCCCCACAGTGGGGATGTCAGTACCTTTCAAGGAAGATCCAGGCCACCCTGTTTTTCCAAATTAGCCAAGTAGTGACACTGTGAAGTTAGATGGATAAAGGTGATGGTCCATCCATACTACAAGGATAGTCAGGCATGCTGCGGGTTTTTTCCCTCCAAGCATTTATTGTTGAGAGCAATCCAAGAGGTCAGTGGTAGGAACATGGTGGCAGCAAACATGGGTTAAAACCTCCTGGCACTTTGTCTTCCTTCCCTAATGTAGACAGGATCAGTGGAGCATTAGAGGAGGAGGATGGCAGGTGAAGGGAGACAAGGCAATAATGGGGACCTGAAAAGCCTGTACGAGGGGAGGATGATCTTTATGGGAGGAGAGAGGCAGCAGAAAATCACTAACAAAAGCCAATTTAAGTTCATTAAACACTTTTTATCAGGATAGTCTCTCAACTTGGGTTTCTAAGCATATACCCCAACATGTTGGTAGAGACAGGTGTTTCTCCAAGTGGAGCAGGAACATGACCAGAAGGTTCATTCAAGGGTTTGATGCCTGTTTTGCTCTTTTTGTTGCAGCCTGTGGAAACAAGGTTGACCCTGTGTATGAAACCCTCCGCTTTGGGACTTCCTTAGCTCAGAAAACAAAAAAGGGCAGTTCTGGAAGTGGGTCTGACTCTCCCAACAGAAACTCTGTAAGTATCCCACATCTTTCTTCCATTTTCTTTGTGAGGAGAAACAGATATTGATTCACAGAAGTTCATATCAGCATTCCCAAAACTTGTATTTCAAACTGTAAAAGAAAAAATAATCTTCCACTCAGTTTCCAAAATGAGATCAGGAAACAAATTTTTTTTGCAAACTTGGGTTTTAAGTATCTTTTAGATGGCTCTTGAGAAGAAGAGAAAAATATAAATTAAATTAATTATTTTGTTTTATTCAATTGTAAAATGAAATTATATTCTTTTGATTTTGCATATCTGTGTGAAAATGGAACAGAGATATTTAACTGTCATGCTGGATTAGACACATCCTGCCTGTTGGTGGTTGTGGTCACTTGCCCTTCATAGGCATGATAGCATTGGATTGGAGTCCTCAGAGCCTAGACTGGAAGGTACCAGCCCCACAGTACAAGCCCAGCCAAAATTAAGCCACTGCTACTGCAACAATGTGATGGACTGGCATCTCCAGCCCTGCCCAGTGTAGGCTCAGGAGGGGGCCATAACAGATTTGGGCTCCTCTCTCCAAAACCCAAATACCAGCAGGTGAGCTCTGCTGCTTCTATCCAGACAGGAAGATTTTCACCTTCGTGTTTAATCTTCTCATTTACTCTCCTGTTATGAAAGTCACTTTCTTCAGGACCATGGCAGAAGAGCTTGAGAAGGACAAGGGAAACGATAGTTCCCTTAGCTCTGCCTTTGCTAAATCCATACCTAGTTCAACAACAACACTTACCAATTTCCTCTTTACAGAAATGGTTATTTCAACAGTATTGGGACCCATGAGATCAAGGGCTCATTCATGGTGTTGAAAGAATGTTTTATAACCCCTCACCTCTCATAAACAGGCACTTAAGCCTTGCTTGGGGCTCTCTTTTTTTCCCTGAGAGATCCTCCACACTTGACCGCCTGGAAAAATAACCCACCACCAAAACCAACCAACCAACCAACCAAAAATCCACAAAAAAACACATCACATCTGAATATGCTGGAAGCTAAAGCCGATTACCATGTCAAAAGATCAGACCCACATTATCTGAAAATCTGTCCTGCACTCACCTGAGGACACAAATCACCAGACACAGAGACATGATGAGACTTGGTCTCCAGGCCTCAAAGCAAATACTTCCGTGTTTAATTTAAAGTTGTGCTAAAATCTGTTTATGTTTGGTACATTTCTCTAGCACTTAGATGTATGCTCACTCACATGGCTGAACTGTAACCTCAGGGGGTATAGGTGGCTTCTAACCAGACATCCATTTGTGCCAGATGGGTAAAGACAGACAAATCTAAACAAGAACTCTTCAAGGCAGTTATTAAAGGACATGTCCTCTATCCACCCTTGGTTTTGCCTTAAAAGGAATTTGGTAATTTCCGTTCTTTTTTTAAAACCCAAAGTAACTCTACCACCTGTCGCATAGTGATTGCAGTTCTTTCTTGCAATTATTTAATTTACTTTGAAACAGAAGTTCTACAAATGTAATTATTGCTTTCTAAATCAATAAAGCATTATGTTGAATTATGAATGGCAACTCAAGCGTGGGAATCACAAGTACTGTGTCAGCTTGCCCTCGGGAGCTGATCATAACTAGGTGGGGTGTGGGTGTAGAATGAGGAACGCAAGTTCATTATGGGAATTTCTCCAGGGTATTGAGGCTGAGAGAGAATATAACACCTGTCAGCATACAGAAAACAGAAAGATTAGAGAACTGAATAAACAGACATGTGAAACCGTAATTTCTGCCAGTGCAAGCCTGTGGATTGAGACAAGGATAAAAAACAGGGGCAGACACAATCCTGACCCAAATGATAGGCCCATGGAGTTTTGCAGCTGGGACGTGTCATCCAGGAGCAGACACCAACCAGTGACCAGAGCAAGGACACAGAGCCCTTAGAGCACAGGTAAAAATGCACCAGAGCTTGTGAGCTAGCAGCACATGTGCAGTTAATAATGCACAGGGACTCAGACCTTTGCCCAGTGGTCCTTGCTTCTGGGCTGCTCTGTTCCTCTCAGAGCAGAAGCAGCAATGCAGCTGTGAGGCTTACAGCAGCACTGGGACTTTGCAGCTGGGCTGTGCCCCAGCCTTGGGAGCTGGAGCGTGCTTCAAGGTTCTGGAACATCACCATACCAGGGACACCAGGCACATGGTGACACCTGGGGTCCTACTTCACCTCCCAGGTGGTACAAGGGAGCTGGGGCGTGCTTCAAGGTTCTGGAACATACCAGGGACACCAGGCACATGGTGACACCTGGGGTCCTACTTCACCTCCCAGGTGGTACAAAAGGGCTTGCTCTGAGTTAGAGCAGCATAGCTGCTCCTGTTGCAGATAGCTGACAGCAAAGGCAACTAGCCTAAAAGCCATGTCCTGCCTCTACAGCCATGAAGCTTCCAGGACTGCAGTTCACGTCTGTGCAGATTAGAGATAACCATCTTGCTCTGAACTAGCCAAGGTATTTTTAACATGACTGAGCAGTGTGGATGCACCCACTGTGATTTTTCAGCCTAGATTCTGCATTTCCCATAAAAGAAAGTGGCCATATGCTCCAGATTTACTACCTACTGCTTCCTTCAAAAATGTGCTTCTGCAACCCACATTTATGCAGAAAGTCACTTGAGGTGATGTAAATGTGATTCCACTTCTTGTTATTTTTTGCAGATCAGCTCCTCTCAAAAGTAGATTTGTACCTCTATCATTTGTATTAGACCATTTGTCATAAGGCTCTTGACTGACAAATCATTAAAAGTAACTGAGGATAGTTCAGGAGGTTTTTGATGAGGTATATACTGAAGTCACTGCACATCCCATATGCAGTAGTACCAAACAAAACATGAAGCTAATCAACAATTACTAAGCTAGTCTATGAAGGTTGCGGAGCATGCCATAGCAATGAGATGAAAAATAGCTGGGACTTATTTCAACAAAGACAGTTTTTCCCTTCTTCATCCAGCAACTAGAAATCCCTGGATATGCTTTATACCTTGTTAGCACTGTATTGCAGTGCCTTCTCATCCAGGGAAGATGCAAGACAAACGTGACCTGCTGCAAAAGGTTGAGTCTAAAAACAAGGCATAACAGAGCAGTAAAGCAGAAGGCTCTTAAAATAGGAAGGCAAACAAGATAACCACACAATGCGTATGATATAAATCTACTTTTAACCTCTTTGTTCATTAGTATCCTTGGATGGAGAAGTAGCTAGGAAAGTACTAGATAGGGGACATAAAATAGTCAAAGTACTTTCTAAAAAAAGCTTTGTTGTCAACACTAGTAAAAAGGGGGGAAAAAAAAATCTATAAAGCAATTCAAATTTTGTGCTCCCTGAACAAAAGCAGTGAATGTTCCTCATTTGTCTTTTCTTCCTGTAATTCAGGCAAAGGTCTGCAAAACAATGGACAGAACTATGTGTACAGTATAATTTTAGAGTGTCATGGAAAAATGAAGTTAAATCCTTCCATGTGTCTTTAAATCCTCTTAATGGTAAATAAATAAATCTTAGGAGCATCTAAAGATTTACAGTTTTTCAGATTAGAGAGAGCACCTGACTAAAGTTCAATATTTGGGGTTTTTGTGGTTATCAAAGATGTTTTACCCAAAAGAAGTTACATGTAGGGAGTTCAGAAGCTGAAGTTCTGTAAGGTCAGATTCAGACAGAGTTGTTTAGAGCAACTCCTGATTCCTGTTGGGCTATACATGGAGAAGCTGACTACCCAGCCAAGGAATCTGGTGCCTTATGCAGAGTACACTTCAGAGGTTTGAGATTATGTCATCCCATGTTTTTTTACACCCTGGGACAATGGTTCCCTATTCATGATCAACATTAATATGATACAAATAAGAAATCATAGTAATTCTTACAACAACATTTGCGTTTCATTTTCCCCTAACCATACCAGCCAGATGACTGTTTAGAAAGACAGTGATGGCAGGTATTTAAAGACTGACTTCATTAACTCTACCACACTCCAGCTCCTTCTTTCACAGTATGTTAACAGAATTAAAATCACCCTTGCATTACAGTTATTTTACTGAATAATGTATTCATGGTTAATAAACCTATAGTCAATAGTTTCAATTATGTCCAGTCTCCTTGGTAGACAGCTATATAGTATACCTGCAGTATCTGCAAATTCCCCCAGGCCCCTTCTGTTTTGTACGGAGAACCACAATGTTTGACATAATCCATCATTCCTTAACTTTCACTTCATTTTATACTGCAGAAATCTTTTGTACTCCAGACTGGAAACTTAGTCTGGAATCTTCCTGGGCTTTCCCTGCTCCCTGTGAAGGAGGTATTTGTTGTACACTACCGGATACAGTGTTTTCTGCAACCCCATTAGGCTGACCTGCTCTGCTGTGATTGCAACCAAGCACTACATTCCCCAAAGACTCTTGTGTGGTCTCATTTCACCTCATTGCTCACTTTTTCTGGCTTATTCCATCTCACCTGCTCTTTCTGTCCCTGCAGACAGCTGACCTGGCAGAAGTTCCTGAGGAAGGTGATAGCTCTGCAGGAACCCTCGACATGCTGCCAGGCCAGGGTAGCATCGTCAGAGGTATAGGCCTCTGTACAACCTATTCCAGATGGGAGTCTTATGGCATGTCAATGGTTTAGCAACATGCTGGTTTTCAAAGCGGGAGCTGTTTGCTAAAGGGGCATGTAGTTGGTGCAAGACTTTGGAGAATGCTTTTGGCCATTCAGATGAAATCCAAGCCACCAATTTTCTCAATTTGTTGTCTCTAGACCTGACATCGTACAAGTTTCAGGTCCATTCCTTATCCCTTATGCTTCATGAGCATGACTGTAGACTAATCACTTATGCTTCAGTTCAACATGGCCTAAGTGGAACAAAAACAGTACTTCCTTTTTCTTCCGTGTGTTTATCTTGTCTACATGTCTCTATATTCCATAATGTCTTTGGTACAGGAAATGAATCATATCATATCCATATGTCTGTAAAATATCCAACACAATGGTTACTGATTATAATTGCAGCTTCTCAGTACAATTATAGTATGTGCCCAGTAATATTAATAGCCCAATTCTATTGTCTGCTTCACAGTAAAAGAGTAATGTTTTTACAGCATTGGTATGATGGGGTTTCAAGGCCACCGTACCAATAGAGAGTTTAGTAACGAAAGCTCAGCCACTGAGAGATGGTGTTTGTGACCCTGTTTTGAATTCAGTCACGGTGAGGGAAGCAATAGAATCATAGAATCACT